CTTAATTTGTATTGTTTTATTGACTTTGATATCGAATTCTGTTCGTTATCTCCATATCCTTCTTTTACCTATGTAGAGAAGTAGCCAGTTTACCGGTGAAATGCTTTAAAGTTTACTCGGCACTCAGGACGCTTTTAACCTTTCTTTTCATAAATAAAAAAAATCTTGTATAGGGATTTTTATTTATGAAAAGAAAGGTGAAAAACGTCCAACGCCTGTGTACCAGGTTGATTGAACACACTCAGTGAAACGTAACATTAATAATAAAATTAATAATAACAGGACCTGTGCCCTGTTTACAAAAACATCGGGTATGTTTAAGAGGCAATCCACCGAAAAACCAGACAGTATAGTTTTAAAAGACTGCACAGGGATTGTGAAGATTATTTGATATTTTATTTACAACAATATCAATGTAGTCCAAAAGGGATAATGTTAACGGGATTTACACCTCTCAGTTGATTCGATACGCAAGAGCTCTACGTATGAACAATTTCTAAAACAAGGTAAACCATTGACAAAAAAGTTGCTGAAACGATAATATATGCAGTCGCCTTTAAAGTCGTCAATTTGTCAGTTCTATATAAGGTCTATACAATGACCTTGTTGGCAAATACAATTTATCATTGAGTCAAATGCTGAATGACATTTTTTATACTAATTGTTAGGCCATTATTTACACACTGAATTGACGACAGGTTTTCCGTTATTTCCCGATCATGAAAAGAACACACGGCAGGGGGTTCTCACTCCCCCATGGCACCTCATCCTACCTCCGACAGCTTGGAAGTCCGAATTTTCTCTGGTCCTTTTTTGTATTGTTTATTGCAATTTTTATCTTGGATACTGTTTTATTATCACCACATAGATGTACCAGTATCTTATTGGTGAAGAAGCATCATCAGGTAGATTCACGTTTGTTTAATCTATGTTCTCCTGGGGTAGGATAGGACCAAAATAGAGAATTTAACGCATAGAGGAAACAATTTTCTTCATGAACCATGCTCAGCAAGTGTAGAATTAATTGTGTGCAAATCATGTCCTCTCTCTTGGGGGTTGGGGGCGATCACTAATATTGATTTTTTTTCAAATACTGAAATACATGTGTTTTCTATTTTTTTCCCTAGCCAATGCGAATATGAAACTGTACGGTTGTTATAGCAAAGATTTCCTTGGTTGCTTTTTGGCTGTTGCGTTTTCTAAATATGAAATATAAGGAGATAACAAACATTATTAAAGCTTAAAAATATATTAATTTATAAAAAATTGGAGCAGAGCAAACAAGGACCTCCAAAACTTCAGAAGAAAGCTTAGATGCCATGGAGGTCGGAGGAGTGACCATCCCCTGCCGACCGGTCCCATTCGCCGTGTGCTCCCTGCCATGATCTTCCTAGGCACCAGATCCAATCCTCTGGAGTTTCAAGGAATCGTGTATATGCCTTCTTTGGATTGTTTTGATATATAGATACCTTGAGTTCGATATGGCCTTTGTTAAAGTTAGTTAGTAAATTTTATTTCAAGTCGGACTAAAACATTTAACAAAAACATATGCATTAAAGCTTTTTTTTACTGACTAGTAACATAGAAGGTAAAACACATTTAGCACAAATAAAATGTACATATACATGTAAGAGAAAACATACTTCCACGCAAAACACATAAATGGAACAAACACAATGGTAAACACGCATGAAAGAAGCCTTAGAAATTAAAGACTGATCATACGAAAACACTAACATATACCGCAGAGACCATGCACAGATACACAATATAAAAGAAGAATGGTTACGACAGAACTAATATAGTAAAATCATAACTTAAAACAAGGAAACAGTAATCAAATGAGGAGGAAACGTTATGCAGCATTGTTAAGGCTTGAATAAGGGGGCGGGGCCTAATTTATGCGGGAAAAGTTTACTGTGACGTCACACAAAAGGCTTTAATGTATTTCTCATTATACCTGAAAATGAAATAGTTTGCACTTTTTAACTGTATTAGCATAATAAACAACAATAAAACTTATCAATGCATTTAAAAAACTTACTAGTTAAATCCCATGTAGCTGGTTATAGACAAAGCACTGATCGCGATGAACTTGTAATTATGACGTCATTTTAGTAAAAATGACGTATTTCATCTGCTGTGAGAGGCAGATTGAGGAATTTTTTAACAATGAAAAATGCGTTTTATTATTAAACGGAATATTATTAACAGGTTTTAAATAGTCGATTAATACCAATGCATATCCTTTGTTTAGTGCGATTATTAATTAACTATCAAGAGAATGTATTTTATTAATTATGTCGTGTTTTTATGTACAGGTTACGTATATTTTACATCATGATGCCTCATAAAATTGCACTTTCGCAAGGGCATACACTTAATAGATCTTAACCATTTTTTGAATATAGATAAAGGATATTTTTCTTAACTTGAAAAGTTCTGCTGCTTTCTTTAAATCGAGGGCGTGATTTTATAAGTACACAAAATATTTGGTTAAAGTCAAACATATTTCGACATTGGCTTATTTACCTGAAAATTTAACTATTAAAACGCGAATTCTATTCAAAGCAGCAGTGTTGAAAACGCTATTGAAATAACGACCACTATTGAAATAATTATATTAATAGTGGTTGAGAGTGCATTTCAATAGCAAACATAGGTAATTACGTCTATTGAAATACGACCACCATTGAAATAATTATTTCATTAGTGGTTGAGAATGAATTTCAATAACAAAGATAGGTAATAACCACTATTGAAATACGACCACTATTGAAATAATTATTTCAATAGTGAGTGAGATTCATTTCAATATCAAACATACGTTGCAAGCACTATTGAAATAATGTTCACTTTAATTTTGAAATAAAAACTTCAGTATGGATTAAATTATTGATTTTAATAGTGCATTGAACAATGAATCCAATATATATTGAAATAATTATTTCAAAAGCTGCTGACGCGGTAAAAATTTTCTTTCAATTCTGGTAGTATATTTCAATAGTGGTTGAAACCTATGGTTACCATATTGAAATGCACTCTCACCCACAATTAAATAATTTTTTCAGTAGTGCTCGTATTTCAATAGTGGTTGAAACCTATGGTTATTATATTGAAATGCACTCTTACCCACTATTAAAATAATTATTTCAATAGTTGTCTTATTTCAATAGTGGTTATTACCTATGTTTGTTATTGAAATGCACTCTCAACCATTATTGATATGATTATTTCAAACGTGGTCTTATTTCATTAGTGGTTACTAACTATGTTTGTTATTGAAATGCACTCTCAACCACTATTGATATAATTATTTCAATAGTGGTTGTATTTCAATAGTGGTTACTAAATATGTTTGCTATTGAAATGCACTCTCAGCCACTATTGATATAATTATTTCAATAGTGGTTGTATTTCAATAGTGGTTACTAATTATGTTTGCTATTGAAATGCACTCTCAACCACTATTGATAAAATTGTTTCAATAGTGGTCGTTATTTCAATAGTGGTTGCAACACAGCAGCACTTTTCAGAAACTATAAAGTATGTAGAAACAAATAATAACCTGAATTTTCAATTTCAACTAGGGTATGCCCTTGCGATATTGAAATTTGTGCATGACCTACATTCAGTACACGAACTATGCATTCATCATGGGACTGTCCATCGAAGGGACCAAACTTCATACAGTTCAGAGTGGGTTATACTATGCTATTTCAATAAGTATTTGTGTTCTGTGATAATAAAATAGCTTAATTAAAATAAATTCAGTTTTAAAAAGGTCCCCCTTTTTGCACGTCTATTTTCCGTTGATTTCTCATAGTAGGCCTTAACAGTGCTGCGTCGGTATGAGGAAAAAAAGTCTGAAGTCTGCAGGAACTACATTAACAATTTACTAGTAGTGCGTGAACTGAATTTGACTACGGAGTGTTCCAGTCACCTGATCAATATGTAAGACTTATTGCGGCTTTAACCGGTCAACAAGGAATGCTTACTCCTACTAGGCACCTGATGACACCTCGGGAATTTCTAGGTTTCAATGATTTATGCCCTCTAAACAGATTTGTTTCCTTGTTGCCACTTTCCTGGGAATTTCATAATATCACCTTTTATTCTTAAACGATCTTCTGCAGAGTGCATTTTAAAATCAACAACTTGATTTATGTTATTCCTTCCAAGGGACAGGAACACCCGTAGAAATACACATCCATGCTGTTTAGAAATGAAAACACTATTTACAAAAGTCTTTTTATTGCCCAGTAATGATTTGTTTTACATAAGAAAAAGAGAAACATTCAATCAGCGAAAATGAATTTATTTAATCAGAGAATATGTAGATTATTGAAAAAGAACGTAATTCAGCTTTTTGGAGTAGTACGTTTTGTAATACTACGAAGAAACAATCAAAGGTTTAAATTCCAATTAAAAATTGACTATTGCTGTTTTAGTGAATGCTTGCATTTTATGTATCCTTTGTTGATTTTTAGAAATAAAAAGCTAAATAACGAAAGAACCAAAATAAGATAAAATCGACATTTTTGAATATTTCAGACAGGTTGAAATATTATTATTAGTGGTAGAACTGCATTCATTGTTTGAAAATGGGAAGTAGAAAAAATTGAGAGACACAAGTAATCTAATTAGAAGGACGCGTATTCTCGGCAAAGTGTTTCAAGATGGGTCTTTTGATATTCTGAAAATTGTTTGTAAATAGTAAGTACACAATGCTCTTGCGATAATCTTTGAAGAATAGGATGACGGTGTATTGTAGCAAGGTTTTTCGAGTATAAACATCCATCTTCGGGTTCGCGAGAATCTGGATGAAACTGATAAATCACCACTGCCTTACCTGTTGAAAAAAAATTACTGTATTTTCGTACAGATTACACAAGTACACTAAAACGCATGTGCAAATAAATGTACAAGATTAAAAAATAGAAGAAACATTATCGAAGTCATTTAAAGTAATATCATTATGAAAAGATATAATTTTTTACCTCCTGCATTTTCTACAACCTCAACAGCACATTTCTTTAATTGACTTATATCATTTTCCGCTTCCAGAATAATATCAAGGTCATTGAAGTTGATGAAAATGAAAACAAGCTAAATTAAATAAAAACAAAGAAGATATGATCAATATCTCTTGACTGAACATTTCAATATTTTCATAAGCTTGACATTTTTTTCAATAAAGTTTTTGCTAAATAAAATTCCTTTTAAGATAAGTATACAGTTGAATAAAATGTGGGCGTAATGACGCAAAATTCAAGTTCTTGGTAATAAAAAGTAACACGTTGGGTGTGACCGGTAGATAGGGGTTCCTTACTCTTCCATGGCACATGATCTGGCTTCTGATGATTTCTAGGTACGTGTGTGTTTCGCTCCTGATTTTTATTGTTTGAATGAATGCTTAAGCTTGAATACCATATTTCGTCATTTATCACCTGTGCGTTTTTGTGATGGAATATTTTACTTTTTACTGGAATATTTGTAGGGTTCTTACTATGAATTCAAAGGATAATTTTTCATTACACATCTTACCTTTTTATCTCAAAACTAAATTTATGCCTATTTTACAAGCGATCATAATGAACTTAGGCGATAATATTAATACAAAGTAGTCTGTGCTTAAAAAAATTACAAAATTAAGAAAAACAAATCAAGGGATGATGAAAAGTTTTAGCATGATACGGTGATTACTAAAATTTGCCATTTATTATAAAAATATATATATATATATATATATATATATATATATATATATATATATATATATATATATATATATATATATATATATATATATATATGTAGGACTCCGAAGTGCGATAGGACCCAAAAGTCCGATGGTCAGGCCGAAGTCCGATACATATGGTCTACTAAAAACTCTCGTTGACAGACCAAAGTTTAAAATTTTATATATAAACTCCTGACCAAATATTTGATGCCGCATCTTGCCAAAGTATGATAGCTAAAATAACAAATCGATATTAAGTTCAAACACTAATCCTAATCTTTTGTATAAGTGCGAGGCTAACCCTTATTAGTCAAAAAATTAATAACAACTATAATCCAAATATCTTGGGTTAGTGCTGGACTTATCAAAGTCATTTGAAAAGTATGCGAGGACTAACCCTCAATCTTTCATAAGGGGTCGAAGTAACTAATTATCAGTCCTACTGTCCCTAACAAAAATACTATTATTAAGGTTTAACTTTAGTTTAATCTATTCAATTATAGTAAATCAAAGTGTCAAAGTTATCACTGTAGTAAATTACAGTTTTCAAAGTCATCTCTATAAATCATATTTTTAAAGTTATCACAATAGTAAATCAAACTTTTCATAGTTATCATTTTAGTAAATCCAAGTTATCACTTTAAGTATTTGAGAGTGTCATAGCTATTAATGTAGTTAATGAAAGTTTTAAAAGTGTCAAAGTTATCACCCTAGTACATGTGTTAGCTATAATTAACTATAGATTTTTTTGTTACGGGTTTTTAAGGACTAGCCCTTATCAGTCTAGTTGTTTGCGAGGACTATCTCTAATATATCTGATGGGTTCAAGCAGGGTTGTCTGTCATGACGTGGTAAACGTTGATTGTTCCTACTCTGAATTGGACCTTGGAGTATCATACTATCGCACTTAAGCGCATAGTGTCTCATTTGAACCGAACCGTCGCACTTTGGCGTGACCATTGCACTTGGGAGTCTCACATATATATGACTTTACAATGTCTTCAACAGTTGTTTTCAATACATATACATGTCCGTCGGATGAGACAATAAATGGTTGCCGGTGTCAAGGATGACAACCCCCTTGGAACATAAAAAATCGTTTCTCTGGAGTTCTAAAAAGGGTAGGCTTATTTGGGGGCGCCAAAGAAATAATTTTTTTTTTTCGAAAACCGACCATTTAAACTAATAGTCCGCCGGAACATGGCTATAATTATAGCAATTCTATAATATATATAATATAATCTATTCACAAGGAAAGATCCTAAATTCATTATGCCAGTACTATGTACTTTTAAGAGGTGACTTTTGATACCTGGGCTACAAATTTTCATCAACTGCATGTAAATTTTTCCTCTCTCACTATTTATTTCGGCGTTAAAACGAGCAGTATGGATGGATCTTATTTCTCTGTATTCCATTCAAACTTTTCATAGCTGTATACTAGTTATTCCAGGTGCAAAACTTTATTAAATACATTTTGGTAAAATAAATTCTTCCCCTTTCTGACTGTCACATTTACGGTGTAATATTGTCTTTTTGTATTTTAATATCCTATTCTGGACCTCTGATTCGAACACCCTTTTGGTAACTCTCCAGAACTTGTATTTATTCATCTGAGTTTAGGCTTCCGCTCTTCTTAAAACTGGCTTTCCAAGATGTAGCTGCACGGGTTGTGACTAAACAATTTTCTACTCTCAAAATTTTGTAAAGTTTAGGTATTTTAAAAGCGTTAATACAGACCCTGACTTCTGAGGTGAGTAACATGTTTTATTTACATTTTCTTCTCTGTTTTGTTAATTAAACGGTCCTGGGATAACTTTGTTATTTCAACGTATTTTTATTTTAGTTTATTCGTTTGAATGTTAGTTCCTCTGCATAGTTTGTATGATCTATAAATATAATAGTGAGTAGTATTAATTGATAGTATCGGCTCTAGTGTTGTAGTATTTAGTTTCATTATTATTCTAAACAGTAAAGTAACTTGTATGTAAGTGAAGTTACTGTGTGTAAGTGTAAGTTATATGTAAAATAATGTCATTATTGTGAAAAAGCATTTACAACAAGTTCTGTAATGCAGCGCTGTGATGTTCATCCCATTAATATCCCATTTTCATGTATGGTGGGTTGTGTTGGTAATAACTTGTATGTAAACTTGCTTTCTGTTTTAATGTGTAACTTAATGTGTTTACAATTTTGTGTTATGTAGGTCCCGTTATACGTCCTCCGTTACGTCCTATGTTCGGTGTTTTATGCTATAGGGTGTAAGGGTTATGGTTACAGTGGAGCCCGTATATATTACGTACAGTTGATGTAATCTAGATAAATGTGAAAACGCTTAAATTGACATTTGTTATTTTACTATAATAAGGAAGAACCCGCAACACTGACGCCATTTTTATTCGTTTGTAAACTCTTTATAAAATTTACGATAAAAGTCCTATTTACAAAATAAGGTCAAAAAATTTGATAAGAATTGTACCATACCGGAATCTGTTCGTACCTTGATATTCTCACCAATTACAATGTAATCAACAGGGAGACTTAAAGTCCATTTTGATAGTTATTTTCAAATTCAATTCGCCATATCAGCCATTTTGCTCTTTAAAACACCAGTATCCACACACGACACCACATTTTAGGAATTCAGGTATTTGGGAATTTATTGTTATATTGTCAGCAATTGTAAGTTCTTCATAAATAACTTGAAGATAAATATATATTAATTGTATTGATTAATGTCAAGATTTGGCAAAGTCGACGTTCGATGAAATGACCCTTTGATACTATTGGTATAATGCATACCTTTGAATTTATTTCAGATAAGTCTTTTTCTTCTCTGATGAGGGAAAACTTTCGATCGCCCAAAAAGGAATTTGATAAACTCTTTAGATGATACAACTGATGACGATTAAAGTATACAACCCCTGGTACATTACTAAGGGTTTTTGTTTTTTCTATATTTATTCTGCAAATGACATTCTGCAAAAAGATAAATGAAATTATTTAAAGCAGTGATTTTGACAAAGTCACAGAAAATACATGTGCTGATAATTTAAATTCTATTCCAAATAAAAGAAAAAAAAATCTTATTGTAAGAAACGAAAAGATAATTCATTTAATCAGTATTTCCTTGACTTTTTGTTTGTTGATTACTTGTCATTATCGAGTTTCAATGCTTATAGACAGACATACAAGTACACGCACTAAGTAAAAATACGACAAGTCTATTTTCATGAAGAAAGAAAATTCAATAAAATCTTAAAGCCGCTTAATCCGAAACAGGCATATATATCATCTTGCACAAAGTACGTCATTACATAGAAAATATGCAAAAATAAATGATAAGATTGATTTAATAGTTAATTACAACAATTCTTACAAGGAAAACATAGATCAAAAACCTAACTGACAAACAGAAGTTCCTGACGGGAATAAAAAGATCTGTCGTGAAGTCTTCTTTGAAAAAAATAAATTTATCGGTTATATCTAAATTATGAAGAACAAACCGGAGGTTTTTTTTTTTCATTTTTAGAATCCTAAGTCATATTATATATTCTAAATATTAAGAAATAAATTGAATATAATCTACAGTAACTTTTATTTTAATATGCACATTTAAAAGAATAAAGGAAATTAAGATATTTTAAAGATTTTTTAAGGGCTAAAATATTGTTCGTGTACAGGTATAAGTACTTTGTTGTGTGAAAAAAAAATGTTCGGGTTTGTTCTTCATAATGAGATATCAGCGATAAGTTTAATATTTCGAAGGTGATTTCACACCATTGAAAATAGCGGCATTGTCAAAGGTTTATTTATTGTGTGGCCTAACAAAAATTATTTTTTTTAACTTTTGAATTTTGATATCTTTTAAAAGAAAAAGACTTTTGGGGTGTAATTTGACAAAAGTTGATACAATTTATGAACAATTATTTTTCAAGAAGAAAAACGAATATATTTTTTCGCGATTAGAATCGGACCATGCGGCTTTAAAATCAAGGATTGGTTGCTGCGTTGTGTTTGCACCCGATCCCTCCTCCGATGTTTTGAAAGTCCGTCTTTGCTCTGCTCCTATTTTGTATTGTTTAATGGACTTTTGAGCTTGAATACTGTTCGTTATCTCCGTAAGTTTCATTGCAATAGTAAGGCTAACAAAACAATTTCTGTAACATATCATGTATATGCTACAAATTGGAATTATTAACAAGAAAATAAATATTGTCTTTTAAAATATATTGATGTTCAAACAGCACTGATTAAATATTTAATGAATTCTAAATATAAACGTACTGAAGAATAATAATGAATAATTAAGAATATACCTTACCTTATTGTCTATCCAGATAAGCAGGGCAAAAGTCATGTAGAGTAAAAACACAAAGGGAAGTTTTCCTGAAAAAAGAAGAAAATTTAGAAGTCGTTTTTACATGTAATTAATAAACTAGTACACAATGTAACTGCACATATAGATAAACTGTGCAAGTAGTTTAAAGTTGTATGGGTTGGTTTACAATCAGCTTTGTTAACGAACTTCGCTCTTCAGCTTTTCAGCAGATTTTTGTCTTGACTTCTATTTAAAAAAAATTCTGCATAAATTTTTAGATTTTACAATAAATTTTGATTCTATAACGCTTATTAAATTATATTCAATTTAAACCCCATGATTTAATTCCATACCTTAACAATTAGTGAGAAACTATATTTTGTGACGGAATTTAGAAGAAAAAGACAATTTTTTCTTCTTTCAAAATATTCAGTATTGTTAAGATTGTATTCCTATTCTTACATGTAACTATAGCATACACACTGAGTAATTATGCGCAGTGAAAAGTTCTATTCTTGTCCTAATACTTGGATATTTTACTTGAAAAAGACGTTAAGGCTAATCTAACAACCAAGCTATATGATAAACGTGATGACTTTAACTTTTCTATCGTATACTTCCCTTACTTTTGCAACTATATACCTTCATCACCTGCATACGGAGAATATATATCTCAGTTGATTCGATACGCAAGAGCATGCTCTACGTATAAACAATTTATAAAACGAGGTAAATTATTGACAAGCAAGTTGATGAGACAAGAATATTAGCAGTCTCGTTTAAAGTCATCATTTTGTAAGTTCTATGGTCGATACAATGACCTTGTCAGGAAATACAATTGATCATTAAGTCAAATGCTGACTGGCGTTTTTCATACAAATTGTTAGTCCATCATTTATACACTGAATTGACGACATATTTTTTCCGTTATTTCCCGATCATGACAAGGAGCACACGGCGGGTGTGACCGGTCGGCAGGGGATGCTCACTCCTCCATGGCACCTGATCCCACCTCTGATGTTTCGGGGGTCCGTGTTTGCTCTTATTTTGTATTGTTTTATGGACTTTGAGACTGAACACTATTCGTTATCTCCGTATCCTTCTACCTCGTTGTAGAAATTGTTCATACGTATAGCATGCTTTTGCTTATTGAATCAACTGAGATATATATACACCGTATATAGTTGATGAAAGTATATTGCTGCATAAGGGAAGTTGACGATAGAAAATATAAAGTCATCACGCTTATTACAGAGCTTGGACGTTAGATTACCATTAACGTCTTTTTCAAGTAAAATATCCAAGTATGACACAGATGTGTCAGACACTGCGGTATCTTTTATCTCAAGCTCACCAGGATATATCGTATCGACGTAGGAATGGAAATTACCATTGTTAATTGACAATACGTCGTCGATATATCTAAATGTCGAGTTTTCGTCTTTTCATGCATAAGATTTTGCACAAATTCTGCTTCATATGAATATGAAAATAGATCTGCTAATAACGGAGCGCAATTTGTATCCATGGGAATTCCAATAGATTGTTGGAATACCTGGTCTCCAAAAACCACATAGATATTGTCAATCAGAAACTCAATCATCTCTTTGATGTCAACTTCAGAGTACTTATGTGTGCAATCAGAATGTGTTTTAACAAAATAATTTTGCAAATGACCAATGGCCAGATAAGTAAATCTACGTGTTTCATTTTTATTGAAGAAGCAAATGTCAATGATATCAAAAAGCCAGGATTTTAATTTGTCGTGGGGAAATGGTATAAAGTTGAAAAGTCGTAAGTTTTTAAGCTGTCGATTTTTGTAAAGTCTTGTGATTTCAAATTGTCCAAAAGTTCTTTAGAATTTTTTAGTATCCACATCTGATTCACACCACTTCTTGAATATATAGTTGCACGGTACTCTTCAAATTTTTCATTCACTTCTGTAGATATCTTAATGAGGAATAACGAAAGAGGCTTGGTTGAACATTTACTGTTAAATCATTGACAAACAAATTGATGAAACAAGAATATGAGCAGTCTGGTTTAAAGTCATCATTTCGGAAGTTCTATGGTCGATACAATGACCTTGTCAGGAAATACAATTGATCATTAAGTCAAATGCTGACTGATGTTTTTCATACAAATTGTTAGTCCGTTATTTATACACGGAATTGACGACGGATTTTTCCGTTATTTCCTGATCATGACAAGGAGCACACGGCGGATGTGACCGGTCAGCAGGGGATGCTTACTCATCCATGGCACCTGCTCCCAACTCTGATGTTTCCGAGGTCCGTGTTTGCTCTGCTCCTATTTTGTATTGTTTTATGGACTTTGAGACTGAATACTGTTTGGTATCTCCATATCCCTTTCCAATTGGAATTGAAGAGGGTCAGTCACTTGATCAAATCCTGTGAAGGATTTCTTAAATTATTTATCACTTGATAAATTTCATTTGTATTTTGTTAAATATCACGGAAATTTGGTTGGCTTATACATAATAAGGTTAACAAATTATATCACACCAAACCTGCAAATTCTGAAAGTTCAAAGTTTCAAAAAAGGCTGAAATTTCGAGTTTAGAATCTATTAAGACAGTTTCGGCCTTGTTTAAAAAAGGAACATTTTGGAACAGAGAGCAGACATGAACTTTAGTGTAGACATCGGAAAAACACAAACAAATTCTTTTACGCAGCATTGTTAAGGCTTGAAAAAGGGGGCGGGGCCTAATTTATACGGGAAAAGTGTACTGTGACGTCACAGAAAAAGATAACTATTATGTATTTCTCATAATACCCGAAAATGAAATAATTTGTAACTTTTAACTATATTAGCATAATAAACAACAATAAAACTTATCAATGCATTAAAAAAAAGTTGCTAGTTAAATCCCATGTAGCTGGTTATAAACAAAGCACTGATCGCGATGAACTTGTAAATATGACGTCATTTTGGTAAAAATGACGTATTTCATGTGCTTTGAGAGGCAGATTGAGGAATTTTTTAACAATGAAAAATGCGTTTTATAATTAAACAGAATATTATTTACAGGTTTTAAATAGTCGATTAATACCAATGTATATCCTTTGTTTAGTGCGATTATTCATTAACTATCAAGAAAATGTATTTTATTAATTATGTCGTGTTTTTATGTACAGGTTACGTATATTTTACATCGAGATGCCTCATAAAATCGTGCTTTTGCAAGGGCATACACTGCATAGATCTTAACCATTTTTTGAATATAGATAAAGGATGTTTTCCTTTACTTGAAAAGTGCTGCTGCTTTCTTTAAATCAAGGGCTTGATTTTATAAGTACACAAAATATTTGGTAAAAGTCAAACATATTGAAACGGAAATTGTTTTTGTGATTTAGTTTCGTATAAAACGTTAGACCTATGTTTTCGTCTTATTTCTTAAACACTAAAAATATTAATTTTACAATCATTTAAGTAGTTTGTAACTGCTTTTGTATTGGGACTGCACTGAGATAATACAAGGTGTATTAAAGTTCTTTTGAGACCTCTCTGGTGACGGAGTTGATAAGCGTTAGTTCGTTTCGTCTCCTATATGCCGTTATAAGACCTGAATAAGGCAGACGGTTGCGGGGAATAGACGGCTAAGTGTTTAACAGTGAACCAAGGCGTAAGACCTGAATAAGGCAGCCACTTGGTTATATATTTAGAGAGGTGGCATACCACAAATAAAGGTGGGGGAAATGCCAGGATACAGTACTTGTGGAGTGGCAGGACAAGAAGAAATTTGTGTACGGGAGACACCCGTTGACCACAGCTAGTGGTTGTCCAATCAAGAAGAAACCCATTGTATTTGTATATATTGTAATTTTATTTGGTCAACAAAAACCTGAGTTAACAGGTTAACGAACCTGAGTGTAACGCCTCGGTGATACAAGACATATCACCAAACACCAAGCTCGGCCGCGTTGCACGTTACAATATTTTGACATTGGCCTATTTACTTGAAAATTTAACTATTAAAACGCAAATTCTATTCAAAGCAGCAGTACTTTTCAGAAACTACAAAGTATGCAGAAACAATTAAAAGCTTGAATTTTTAATTTCAACTAGGGTATGCCCTTGCGATATTGAAATTTGTTAATGACCTACATTCAGTATACGAACTAGGCATTCATCACGTGACTGTCCATCGATGGGACTAAACTTCATACAGTACAGAGTGGGTTATGCTATGCTATTTCAATAAGTATTTAAGTTCTGTGATAATAACAGCTTAATTAAAAATATTCAGTTTTAAAAATACCCCCCTTTTTTGCGCGTCAATTTTCCGTTGATTTCTCATAGTAGGCTTTAACAGTGCTGCGTAACAGTCGGGAAAACAAAGTAAAGGAAGCCGTTCTTTAGCAGGTCCAGGAAAATCGCTATATTTAGCTATATAGTTAAATCTACCCATGTAGTTTTATTTACCTATATAATATAGCTTTATTTAGCTACTTCAGAGTAAATTATTGTTTTATGAAAAGCAGACAAAAAGTCACATAATGAGACAGTATTAGTTTTCAACTTTGAAGTGGACTGAAAACAATTCACCAAAATCCCACTTTTAAAAATGTTTCTCCTTTTGTGCAATTTAAATCAAAGATCTAAAAGTTTTGGGGCTATATATATATATATATCTTTGATTAAGCAGCTACTTTAACAAAGAAAAGCAGTTTTGGTCAACAAGATAATTGATTGGTAATAATTCAGCACAAACAAGGCAATTACACTTAGTCATGCCTCATCGCACTTCCAGTGAGGGACGGCTATCCAAACAACAGAGATACTTTTTTTGGTTAAAAAGTGTTTAAAAGAGGCAATGTTTTTAATATCTATGCCCTAGGTTGTTTCTATCAAACCTTTTAAAAAAATATAAGCCATAATTTTCATATGATTTTTTGTCTACTTTTCATAAAACAAAAACTTATTCTAAAGAAGCTAGATTAAATAAAGCTATATTATATAGGTAAATAAAGCTATATAGGTAATTTAAGCTATATAGCTAAACATAGTGATTTTCCTGTACCTATTTAGTATTTAAATAGCATAT